CACACACACTACACACACACACACACACAACACGTACATTTTATATAATAATTATTAGTTTCGTACGATTATTATTAACTCATACGAATTCACTTCGTAATTCAAATTTTATGCATTATCTTGAAAGCCACTATAATTTTACAATAATAGTTCGAATGTTTAAATACTATATATATGTGTGTGTGTGTATATAATATATTCATCGGCAGGCAACTAGGTCGCTTCACGCTCTAACATGATAAAACTTGCGAGACAGTAAATTAAACGCGTTTTTCGTATTTACAAAAATTTCCGCTTTGTTCGATAGTATAAGTTGACGGAATCGCTGCTGCGCATGCGCATGCCCTGCCAACTCACCATAGCACCCTTTCCGTTCGTTCTGCGCTCGCGTTCAAAGCATTTCAATATGTACACCAAATGCTTAGCTTAGTCACAAGCGTCCAGTACGTGTTCCGAATGCACACCAAATCACGTGATACACGATCACGTGTCACCCACGCGCATGCGCTGAGCGCTCCGCCAAGTTCGCATTCGAATTCGCAGAAAAGAGCGATCTCTACGTCACACGCACGAAAAACAGTTAGTAAATGACGTCACGATTCCGACAGGCGTTCTTTTGTTGCTCCGCTAACGTGCTCATCGTCGATGCTTTACTTCCGGGTCACGAGCGTGTTTCCGGGTTGACGGCAGTCATTTGTTTTGCTGCACACGTTAGTCATTTCCGGCCATCCGTCACGTCATTTCCGGTTATCCGTCACGTCATTTCCGGTCAATGAATGCGTTAGTTATTTCCGGAAGACGTGAGTCATTATCGGTAGACGTGCGTCCATTTCCGGGAAACGTGAATCATTTCTAATAGTCATGATGCGTCATTTCCGGGAGAAGCGAGCTATTTCCGGTGGACGTACGTGATTTCCGGGTGATGTTAGCCATTTCTGGTTAAATCAACGATGTTATAGCAGCAGATTTGACGCACCTTTTACGTCAAGGTCACGCCCTCATTTGTTCATATCTGTACCTGTCTTCTGTTGCCTTTCACCTTCTCCGCCCACCTGTTTCCTTGTTTTCTCTTCACACCTGTCCTTTTTTCTACTCTCCATGCTTATCTCTCCGTTTCTTCTCCTTACACTTCCTCTTTTCTCTTCGTCTCCACTCCTGTCTGTCCTCCCTCCCTCTGATCTCCTGCCCTTCCTTCTCCATCTCCTCTCCCCCATCTTCCTTCTCTTCTCTATCATTAACTCTCAACCTTCTCTCATTTACATCTGTTTGCCTCTTGTCCTCGCCTGCTCTTCACTTATATACTCTCCTCGCGTTTCCTTCCTTCCTATCTCCGTCTCCTCTCTGCATCTGCATCTGCTCTCCCGTTTCTTTATTTGCCTGCCCCCATCCAATCCTACCACACCACACTCCCATACACCCTTCTCTCCTTCTCCTTTTCCTCCTCCTCCTCATTCTCCTCCTCTTCCTCCTCCTCCTCCTCCTCCTCCTCCTCCTCAATCTTCTCCTCCGCCTCCTCCTCCTCCTCCTCCTCATCTTCCTCCTCCTCTGCCTCCTCCTTCTACTCCTCTTCCTCCTCCTCCTCCTCCTCCTCTTCCTCCTCCCCATTCTTCTCCTCTCGTCTTCTTTCTCTTCCTTCTCCTCCTCCTCTTCTGCTTACCCCTTTCGCCTTACCCCTCCTCCTCCTCCCGTCCTTTTCCTCCCCATCCTACTCCTCGTCCACCTCCTCCTCTTCCTCCTCTTTCTCCGCCTCCTTTCTTTTACCCATCCTTTCTTCCCCTTCTCCCTCCTCCTATTCCTCCTCCTCCCCCTCCTTCTCCTCTCTCCCCTCCTCCCTCCCTTCTCTCTCTCTCTCTCTCTACTTGCACGTGTACTCCTCCGTGCGCTGGCTGCACTCGTTACAGTTGACGTAGCAGCACCAGATGAACTTGCAGTTGCACTGCCAGATGCGCGTGAACTGGTGCGTGTTGTAGCCGCGTCCGCAGCACAGCAGGTCGCACGAGTCCGAGTCCGTCGACGTGCGATTGCAGCGGCGCGCGTTCGTCCCCATCGAACCTCGCTCGGCGTCCGGCTCGCAGTAGTTGGGCGACTTGTCGAGGAAGACGAGATCGGTGCGGCGCGGCTTCCTGTCGGGCTTCTTCGAGCGTCGCAGCTTCAGGAAGAGCGGAGAGCGCGTGCGACGCTCGCGGATGACGACGACGCGTTTGCCGCGCGAGTAGCGCGACATCAGCGAGAGACCGATACGACGGAAGGCCGGCAGTGTCGTCCAGCATGTCTTCATCGTGCACGAGCCGGACACGCCGTGACACTTACACTCGGTGCCCATGTTGTCCTTGACGACCTGCGATAGAGAGAGATAGATAGTTATAGAGAGGGTGCTGGTGGTGAAGAGAGAGAGAGAGAGAGAGAGAGAGAGAAAGAGAGATAGAGGAGAGAGAGAGAGAGAGAGAGAGAGAGAAGAGAGAGAGAGAGAGAGAGAGAGAGAGAGAGAGAGAGAGAGAGAGAGAGAGAGAGAGAGAGAGAGAGAGACAGAGAGAGAGAGAGTGTGTGTGTGGTGGTTATAGGGAGGCTGATGGTTGTGGTGTAGAGTTATAGAGAGAGAGTAATGGGTAATGGTGGTGGGCAAGAGAGAGAGATGGGTGTAAGTGTGAGTGGTGGTCGAGAGTTAGGGTTAGGGTTAGGGTTAGGGTTAGGGTTAGGGTTAGGGTTAGGGTTAGGGTTAGGGTTAGGGTTAGGGTTAGGCTCTCCATAGAGATGGTGATGGCGGTCGGGGCAACAGCGCCAATACCAGCCGTAACATCGCAGACGATCGTCCGGCCGAACGCGCGCTCGCGCAGGGATACTCTGCTCGCGCAATCTAACGGGGACCGCGTACGTTTGCGCGTAGAGGCGTGCGGGGCGGGTCAAGTATGCAGTGGTTTCTTTCACCGGGAGGGTGAAAGAAAGAGGGAGGGTTGAGCCTTCTCTCCCCATGCATGATGCTTGCTGCCTCCAATATCACCTCCACTACCGCAGCAACCCTCTCACTGCAAGATACTATAGCCTGTACCTTTACTCCCTCATACTATAGCCGTTGCCGCTGCTGCCAGCTCCTCCGCCACCACTACGGCCGCTGCTGCCCCCCCACCCCCCCACCCGCCACCACCACCCTCTCTGCGGCTGCGTTCTTTCTCGTTACCGCCACGGCTGCTGCCCTGTAATTAGCCGGTGAGAGAGCGAGCATGCCAGCAGCTCTTCTCTCCCTCCCCCGTCTACACCCGCGCCTCCCCCGCACCTCCCCCTCCCCCCGGGTCTCCTCCTCGCGCCTCCCCCCGCACTTCCCCCCCCCGCACCT